GCAGATTCTGTTTTTTGGAAACTGTAACTTACCCCAAGAATTCATCTATAGTTAACATAGCTTATATTTTGGGGGTGGGTAACCATTCACAAATGGGGTGCCAAGATACAAACCTCTGCTTTGAAGATAAAGGATGACAGAAAATCCTGGCATCAACTTGAACCCACTGGGTAGTTGGAGGTCAATCAGAGTTCAAGAGGTGACCAGATCCTTTTGAGGCTCATAAGCATGATGATGACTGGGTTTTTGTGCCATCATGTGAGATATGCCTGTTTCAAACCCTTTTAAACAGAGGGGAATTACCCACCTAATGTTTAGAAAATAAATAAGATGTGGCCATTCCAGTGCATAGGAAGGACAAACACTCCATTCAAGCTGGCCGACCTCACGATTCTGTGTAACTTGGACCTCAGTCCCCATGTAGCTTCTGGCATCTAGTGTCCACACTACTTAGCAAATGAGGACACCCAGGCACCCCTTTTCTAAAAGGCTGACAACTCAATCCCCACTGCCCCATTTCTGTTTAAAGGTCACCCTCCCTTAAGTCAGTCTCATTTTCTAGAATCTCTCAGCTTGTACAGCTAGAAAAAAACACATTCTTCTTCTTCCCTCAAATACCAGTTTTCATTTTCCTAGAAAGAATGCAAAACCCATTATGCTCAGGTGAGCTAGCAGGAATACCTACTCTAAAACAGGGCATCAAAGCAAAATGCCATCCGAAAAGGAGAAGAGAAGCTGATTGGTTAGTCTTGGTTACCAAAAAACACAGGGCTATAGTTGGAGTCACGGGTAAAGTATAGTATGTCATGTGTTCTTATCAAGGAAACAACTCGAGATTCAGAACCACCTTTCAGTGGCTTTACAGAAAGTAGGGAAATGTAAAGTCATTCCCTGCAGACTCTTTGGAATGCAGTATTGACCATCAGAGCTGTGAGCTCCTGGCAATGGTGGTTATTGGCAGGGCTTACTTCTGATGCTGTTTCTTTGGGGCATCTTAATCAAAGAGCCTGGGTTGGGAGTTCATTTTAATTTGTGATAATAAACAAAAGAGCAAAGATAGGAAAAAGTAGGAAAAACAATGCAGAGGCTAGTCAGAAGTAACACACTATGGAAGTAGCTGCTTGGCACTTCAAATAGACAGGTCACACTTTCAGAGGCTGTTTCTACCTCTGTAATTAGAGAAGTGCACGGTGCTGCTGATGCTGAGGAGGGAAAAAAGAATCAAGGTGGCTCATTCCCTTTTCCAGTAGCGAGAGCAGAGGATAACTGTCAGCTCTGCTGCCTCCAGAGCAGCATGTAAGCAGCTGATGGCCATTCTGCCGAGTGACGACGGCATTTGGAAACAGCTGGTGAAAGACAGAAACTACTGCCTGGAAAGAGCCTGAAACTCACCCTCACCAATGACCAGACCACACAAGTCTACTTCCCTTTCTCCTCCTTTCGAAAGAAAGAGGGAGGGAGAGAGGGAGGGAGGAACGGAGAGAACGAAGGAAGGAAGGAAGGAAGGAAGGAGAAAAGAGACTAGGAGAGGAAGGGAAGGGAAAGAGAAAAAGGTATACATGCTACAGATAATTTATCTACTGACCAAAGCAACACACTGCATTCATAGCTAGAAAGCTTGCCTTGTCTGGTAAGAAAACTCTTACATAGTAGGAATACCAAGTCTCAAACCCAGCTGCCATTTGCAGGTGTGTGGCCAACAGTGTGGAGAGGAATGAACTATTGCCCTGAACAACACTCTATCAAACAGAACCAAAAGGAGAAACAGTTGGTGACCATTAAGAGCAAACTCAAATATTCTAAAATGGTCAGATATTAAGAAGGCAGTCAAAATAGGGAACACTGGGTAACTATATTTATGGGATTAAAAGCATTGTCCGGACCTAACTTCACAAAGTTACAACAATTGATAAGCTATGATGAGGAGTGAATATGATCAAAGTACTTCATAGACATGTATGAAAATACAATAATGAAACCTGTTAAAAAATATTTATAAGGGGGGAGATAAGAAAGTGTGATAGAAGGGATGAATTTTATCAAAGTAGTGAACCTCTTTTGTACAATTAGTATATAGTAATAAAAATAATAATTTAAAAGTATACTGGGTTGGTCTATACCTGCTAGAAATCAAATACAGATGATACACACTAAACAAAATATAACAAGCAGGTGGCATGTTACAAATATGTTGGTTCTTAAAAAAGTTTTGTGAATTAAAATTTGTAGCTGCACTAGAAAGACTCATTATTTAAAGAATTCTGTGGATAAATTCTTCACTGAAGAAAGAACTGTGCATACAGCACATAGTCATTTCTCTAATGTGCCTGGTTTGTAAACCCTGAATTTCAGATATTAGGTAAAGTAAGGCAATTTGGAATAAAGCTCAACCTCGCCAATAACCCAGGAGATGTAAATTGAAAAGAGAGGCCCTTTTCAGCTGTTATCGGTGGTAAAAACATAAAACATTTATATTGTCCAATAGTTTCACTAAGAATGAAGACAAAGGAGCATGCACTCTCTTCCACCAATACTGAAAATGTAAACTGGAACCCTTTTTGGAGAGCAACTCTGCAGCGCTCATTAAAATTTTAAATGTACATATACACACTTCTGGGTAACTATTGTAGAAATATCTAGTGCCCAAAGATGTGCCCCACAGCAGTGTTTGTACTAGTAAGAACTTAGTAACAATTAAAACAACACCCGGTGGAGGCACATGAGAACAAAATGGATACAATCATGCAAGCACCACTAAATGGAATAAGGCAGATCTGATTATTCTGACATGAAGGATGTTCAGCATACAATACTAGGTGAAAAAAGCAAATTGCAGAACGACAGAAAATGTCGATCTCTCTTTAAAAACTAAGTGTGTATGAATGAGTAAATGTCTTTCTTGTTGATTTTGTTTTGGTTTGTTTGTTTGTTCTTTGAGACATGGTCTTGCAAAGTTGCTCAGGCTGGCCTATAACTTCCTATGTAGCCTAGGCTGGCCTTGAACTCTAGATCCTCCTGCCTTAAACTCTTAAGTGCTGGGATTACAGGCATGAACCACCACACCCAGCTGAATGGATGTCTTCAACAGAAGTTAAAACAACAGAAAGAGAAAAATGTATACGATTTTACTTTTTATTTTACAGTTTAAAACTGTTACGAGTATCACTTTCTTTTTGCAGAACTGGGGTTTGAACTTAGGGCTTTGCTATTTTGCACAGTTTAAAATTTTTTTGAGTATCACTTTTTTCTCTTTTTTCTTTTTCTTTTTTTTTTTCTTTTGTGGTACTGGGGTTTGAAGTCAGGGCCTTGCTCTGGCTAGGCAGACGCTCTACTACCTGAGCCACACTGCCATACCCATGAGTGGCATTGTTTAAGTTTAGGTAAGAGGGAGTTATTACGGTGTGAGACTATTATTAATCTGCTGATACACTAGCGGTTGGTCACTGCTCTCCAGAGGAAGTCACACATACTCCCGTAGCCTAGTCCTGTGGTCACTGTGATTTTTACCAACAAAACCTGCTCAAATGAGTATTCTAAGAGAAGCCCTTCTCTGTATTATTTTTATGAAGGAAATGATACCGTGTTAAAATAACATACTCACTTTCTCCTGAACAAATAATATTTGAAGAAATTCAATGTGTCCCAAATGGTATCTTACAAGTTTCCCACCTAAGCCAAAGATATCATCAAAGTAATAACAGACTTGAATCCCATTGGCCCAGAATCTTCTTACATCTTTCAGCTTCCTAAAATCATGCTCAGGCCTGGACCCAAATCTCACCCGTAAAGTTCAGGCCCATAACTTTGAGAACTAAAATAGGGAAGCGCTCCCTTTCATCTTTTATAGGACTGGAGCAGTATGCCTTTTTCCTCATTCTTTTTTAAAGTAGTATCGCTTGATTTCCAAATGTAACGCTCAAAATAATCTATTCAATGTGGACCTTAAGACCATCTTGGAAGTAAGAAATGTAGAATACTACTCATCATTCCCCATAAAATGTCCCCCTCTAATATGTATACTAGAAACAACATTATCAATTTCAAGAAGGTTTAAAAAGCTGTCCAACTCTGGCTTGACTTCAGTTGTAAAAATACACACACTGCCTCTCTCTTCCTCTAATGCACTTAATATTAAACAGTGTTAGGATAATATTTTCCTGGCTAGAATGTTCTTTCCACTTGCCCTAATCATAAGGCTATGCCCACATGAAAAATGTAACCAGAACCAAATAAACATACTATAGACAATGAACAGGAGAGACAGAAAGTGAGCTAATGAATCTGTGATGCCTTCAAAAGCTATAAAGGGTCTTTGTAGTTAGACAAATAAAATGGAACGCATGAAAGGTTAGATATTTGATGAGTGTAAAACGTAACTATCAAGGAAAACTAGTGAATTTCCTTCTGGATGCAATGGTCATATGCTGTCAGATATTTAAGCTGCATGAAAAGTATACAGCACAGACATACTGTAGCAGTCATTCCCACATCACTGACATAACTTTAAAATGTGCAAACTCTGTTCTAGCCAACAATTGGCAATCTAAACAAAACCCTACTAGAATGATGTAGAGCCTAAAACTCAGTTGCCATGAGTTCCACCCAGTGCATAGGAAAAGAGATGAGGAACAAAAACAAAGAAGAAGAACAAGAAAGAAATGCCACATGACTACAAAATGACTCCACTTTTTTCTTAACACCCACACAAAGACAGCAGTTTCTGACAAGAATGTTCTTGGCAAAAAATAAACTTACAAGAAGGTTTTCTTTCTTCTTTTTTCTTTTCTAGTGAGAAAAAAGGCAGCTCTATGTGCAGATTGCCTAGTAGGCAATAGTGTGTGATTTTTTTTCAAGGCCCAAATTTCTGTCCCACATATTCTGAAAATATTATCTGAACATACCTTTTGGCTCACAAAGAAATGATGACTGGAAACAGAGTTCCTGTTTGGAATGTTCATTTCATGATGTACTTGAAAATGAAGCCCACTGGGGCAGCTTACCTTGGCACTGGAAGCCTTGTTTCCCAAACCCCCTGGAAAACAGAAACAAGAACAAATATCTTAGCATGTTTTGTTCTGATACCAGATTGTAAGCAAGTTATGTGACCAAGTAAGTACTATAGAGTTAAAGGGCTTACACATGAAGTACAATGGCTCCAAAGAAAAAAACACCGCGAAGTGTCTACTTAGATTACTGTGCAAGTTCAACTTTGAAAAAAGTCCATCTTGCCTGTTAATGACCACTGAACTATTTCAACACACCAAGCTTCTTTCCCATTTGTTTACACTGTGTTATTGATATTTAAGTTCAAAACAAGAATAGGACTGTATATTCAAAGTTGTTGGCTGCAACATTCAAGTAACAAAAAGGAGCTTTAAAAAAAAAAAAAAAGAATTGGCTTAATTTGATTCCTAAAAAGCAAGCAAGCTGGGCACTGGTGGCTCACACCTATAATCCTAGCTACTCAGGAGACAGAGATCAGTAGGATCGTGGTTCCAAGCCAGCCTGGCAAATAGTTTGTGAGACATTATCTCTAAAATACCTAACACAAAAAATGGCTGGTGGAGTGACTCAAAGTGAAGATCCTGAATTCAAGCCCCAGTACCACAAAAAAAAAAAAAGTGAAAACTGGGTTTTTTTTCTCTCTAAAGACAACTAAAAAGTGGCTTGTTATGAGCTCATTTAAAATATTACGTTTCTAGAAATTGGCAGCTAGCACCACTGTTAGCATTTAATTTTGGCTTAACAAACCGGATTTTATGAAATATTGCGATTGTTTGCATTTAAGATTATCATGATCTAATTTTTATTGAGAACCAATAGCATTCAAATCACATACAGAGGCTATTTTGTTCTTGTAAGTGACTTTAGAGAATTTACTCTGTAAGCAGAGAATCTGACATGGATATCTGCCTGCAAATACTGTTCCACCAGAATGGACTGCATTAAATTTTTCTCAGAGCGCTGTTATATAGTCTCTTGCTTTACATTGTATGTTCAAGTCAGTTCACATTCCTTTATAATTAACTTAGAGTTGTCCACCTTCCCCCCCCAAAAAAAAAAACTGTACCTAAATCCAAATAATTAGTTTTAAAATATCAGTGCTTGAATTATGAAACAAAATTGTAAATCAGGGACTGAGAGAAGCAATAATGAAAGAAAAAGAAAAATTAAATCAAATGAAAGACAATCTTGGTGGGGGCTTTAGGATTAAATAGGGAAGTGCTGCAGGGGTTACTCAGGGATGGAGAAGAGATGGAGATGAGACCTTTATTTTCCATTCCGCAGTACACCTGGGAAAGGCTGATCCTTCCAGGGCAATGATAGTACAGAAACGTTAGTTAGCCTGGGTCATGCTGCATGCCCCTTTTCTAACTTACCTGCAAGTCATCAGCAGTCTGTCTCAAAGCTGACTGGCAGGCAGAAGACCTCCCCTGAACCAAATGCAATATTCTCTGACCTACAACTCCCAAAACTCATTTCAAACAGTCTTATCTACAATTACCCACTCCTTGAGCACAACTGTTTCAAATGCTGACCACACAATGAAAATCATTCATAAAGGTACCTGGCTGGGCTTTCCATGAAAGTGTACTTTTGAGCGGATTTCAAAAAAGAAAGGAAAAAATTAAGCACTTTATAAGCGCCATTGTCATGGGACTCTCAGTTTGAGACGTTTTCCTCCAGATAGGATGGATTCATCCAAGATACATAGGCCACACAGGTGGCTGGTGGCAGGTACACTCTGTGGCACTGTCACCAGGTGCAACTCCAAAACCAGGAGGTGGGGAGCTAAGAAACCCTCCCACAGCTCTGGCCTGTGAAGAACTTTCTGCTCCCACAGACAAGAGGTAGAAGGGTCAAGGTTGTCCTAAGAGCAACAACCACTAGTCAAACTAGGAGACCCAGATTCCCTTAGTTACTGGTTTCTAAACTTTTTTTTTTTAAGGTGGGAGGTGATCTTTTGAGAGTCAATGAAAACTATAATTCTCTCGCGGGGGTGTGGGGGTGAGAACCGTACACAAACACCACTTCACCTAGTGTTACAAGGTTTACCGATGCCCCCCAAACCCTCTAGTTAAAGTTTGTGGGTTTTTTTTTTTTTTTTTTTTTTTGGAAATCACCTGAACTCTGCCATCTTTAGCCGATACAGTATTTTTCTTAAACAAGCCCTCTGTCCTCATCAACAGGGTTACAGGTCTAATCTCGTGTTGACAGGGTCTATTTTAAATGACTCCTTTTGCCCTTCTGCCATTTCCCTGCTCTGTTTTGGTCCCCCTCCCCCACTGCAAGCTTTCAACAGTTTGCTGCCTCTCATCTCTCTCTCTCTCTCTCTCTCTCTCTGTCTCCCTCTGGCCTCACCCAGAAAAAGTCAAAGTCTCCGTCCGTGCCCAGCAGATACAGCCTACAGTAGGCAGGGACCCAAGATTCCAGTGGCGTCCCGGCCCGATGGGAAACACAAACACACTCCCCTGAACGCGCCCAGCCTGGCTCGCCTGCAACTTGGACCGCGCGCGACGCGGTGGCCGCCGCTCCCTCGTTACTCCGGGGCATGTTTCTCCAGGGAAGCTCTGCCCCTCTGGCTTCTCGTATTTTTTCTTTCCCCTTTGCCCACACCCGGGCAAATGGCTCCTACGCTGTCTAGGTGCAGGCGGGTGTGCTTGGGGAGGTGGGAGACCCTGGTCCCGGGGGAGGGGATCCATGTCACTGACGTGCGGAGCCAGCCTGCCCCGGGGGATGTGTGGCGGGGCAGCGACTTCCCTGGGAGTCCTGCCCGCATGTGTGCCAGTGGCCGGGGCAGCCGGGTTCGCGCGTGTCATTCCGGGCAAGAGTTCGGACTCCCGCCTGCTCTCCAAGTTCTCCGAGTGAGTCAGCCCTGGCGTGGAAGCGCCTGGACTTGAGGGGGCCTGAACACCGGCGCTCCCCAGGGCGCCGGGACCTCAGACTAGGGAAGGTCTGGGATCCCCATGTCCGGCGCCGCGAGAGGGGACGGCGCGCGGTGTCTGTCCGTGCGCCCAGCCCCGCGCGCACTTACCAGATGAAGTCGGTGCAGTGGCTGCAGAAGGTGGGCTGCTTGAAGAAGCGGGCGATGAATCTGTGGTCCTTCACCTCGTGCACGTTCTTCTGTCGCAGCGCCCCTTTGCGGGCGAAGCGGTTGGCCACGTCCTGAGGCGCCGTGGAGTCGTTGGCCGGGAAAACGTCAGCCATGGTCCCCCCAACCACCTCTTGCCTCCGCCGCGGAGCAGCAGCCCGGGAGGCCGGGGTGGGCGGGGGCGGGGGCGGGCGGGAGAAGGGCAGCGGGGCTGCTGGCGACCCCGGGCGATGGGCGCGGACCGGTGGCCGAGGTCGCTGCGAGGAGGCGCGCAACGACGAGGAGAGTCGGGCTGGTGCGAAGCGGAGGGGAGCCGGAGTCGGAGCCGCTCACTCGCTCGCTGGCCCCACGCTCACCGGCAGCCGGGCGCCGGGCGCTCGTGCTTTCTACTCTCGGCGGCAGAGGCGGCCCGTAGCGGCGCCGCCCACCGCGCATGCCCCGAGCGCTAGGGCGCGCGAGCCGGAGTGGCGGCGCGGGCGGGGGCGCGCGAGCCGGAGTGGCGGCGCGCGCGGGGCAGGGCGCGCGCGGAGCGAGCTGCCCCGGAGCTGCGCTGAGCCGGCGGGACGCGGGCACTGGGGGAATCGACGCCTCCGCGCGGGCGGAGCGGTCGGGGGAACCGGAGGAGAAGGAGACAGCGGCAGCCACGGCCCTCGGAGGGCCAGCCAGAGTTTGCGAGCGGAGGAGGAGACCGGGAGGGGCGGGTCCGTTCTCCTCCGCTGCCTTTTTCTTTTCCTCCCTTTTCCTCCCCTTCCTCCTCCCGGCTCTCCTCCCTCTTTATTCTCCTCCTCTTCTTCCGCTCGTCTCGCCCGGCCTCCTCCTCTCCCCACCTTCCTCCTCCCACTCCCGCTCTCTCCTGCTCGACTTTCACCTCCTTGCTCCTTTCTCCTTTCTGGGATCGAAGTTCCGCGCCACCCATGCCTGCCCCAAAGGAACCCGAGTCCCAGAAAGGGACCCTGGGTCCTACCCTCCGGGCCGTCCCCCCACCTCTGCGCTCGTACCGCTGGTGGCTCCCTCCCCAACTTCCTTAATACGCTGATATTTCCAGGGCACGATGCCCACGTTTTATCAGCCTGTACCGGTTTGCGGTTTTACCTGGCTAAAAGTCCCTCTAATCGTGTATGCCAAAATGCTTAATCCCCAGACCTTCGTACTGTGTGTAGACTGCAGGAGAAAACTGTTTTTAATAATTGAACCTTGACCCTCTTACAAACCCAGGATCTTTGACCTACAGTCCACCTGGGTGTTGTATAGACAGCAAGTTTGCACGCCAGACATTATCACCACGTAGGATACTTAAAGGATTTGTCCTAGTTATGTATCTCATTATTCATTGGCTATCGGAGTTACAATGTTGATTAGCAGGCTTTCTTGATTTTACAAGTCCAGAGCCTTAATTTAGAAATCATTTTGCATCCTAAGCTGATTACTGCAACACTGGCAGGTGCAAAGTGCATCCAGAACATTTGTAAATTACTAAGTAAAACTGCTTGTGAAAGAGTAGCTGGCATGGATATGCAAAGGACGCAAGTGGGAATGGACCAACTAATCACTGGATGAATATTTATTAGGTCTGAACCACATAAGGGAAACAACTATCTCCCAGCATTTCATTATTGTTTTATTTATTGCTAGATTCACCCAAGTTCACAACACAACTTCTTGAACTAAAGACAACCAAGAAAGAGAACACTGTTTTAATCTCTCAAAGAAGTTTTCAAAAGAAGAAAACTTTTCTAAGATATATACAGCAGCCAGTTTTTTCGAGACTGCCTAACTGTGATTCTTGATGATAAGAATGTCTATTATATTTTAACCAGTGTGAGCTATGGATTGACCGTCTGAGGAGTATGCACTTGCCTGACCCATTTACAATCTCTTGAGCCAATGGTGTTGGTGTCTGAAGAGATTGCACCTGCTTGATGATATTCTATCTGGTCAGAAATTTCAGCACTCATGGTGGCCTTTCCAGGACACTGAAGCAAAAAAGGAAGAGGCAGGAGAGGAATGAAAAGCAAGGCATGATGGGGAAATAGTTCAATTTCTCCACAAAAACAGTATAAACCATCTGGAGTGATGGTTTTTTATATAATTGTAACTCAAATGGAGTGCAGTTAAATGAAAACACAATTTTCCCCCAGAACCATGTTTGTCTAAAACGGAGGTCCTCACACATTTTTTGGCGACAAGCATCTTCCTGTTTCCCTGAGCCATCAGGAGAGTGGGGTTGCAGATGAATCCCTGAGCAAAGCGATAGGGAAGGCAAGTGAGAACCAGATGGACCCAGCAGCAGCCTGCCCTCTCCTGTGTACAATGGAGCAGAGTGACTGCCCTTAGCTGAAAGATCAGATGCAGGCAAGGGTCTCTTTCCTTTCAGGTTGTAGCTCTGCTCTCTTGTGTCAGTTGCTGTTCCTTACAGGATGGGAGGATATGACTAAGTGGAAGTTGGTTGATTGACAGTTGGACTGGGTGTGAATACATCAATTGCCTACATCTTGGCTCATTTGGCACAGAGGGAGTGGTGTGCCTGGGGTAGGGAATTATCAATTTCCAAGCAGTATAGTCACGCTTCTAGCAAGAACTGATGCAAATGGTGGGCTGCCATTCACCCATGCAGCCCACCTGAGAAGTCCCTATGGTCTAGCTAAGACAAGAGATTAAGGAAGGGAGAATCCCTGGGAAGGGGGTAGCCCAGCAGTCATGAGCATCAGTAATTATTTTCAAGTCTGCTGTTTGATGGAGAATGTGCAGGAAATGAACACCTACTTTGACAGAATCCCTTCTCCCCTGCCTTTGAGGAATAAGCTCAAGGCTCTTTGGAGCGGGACCCGAAACCTGGGGCTGGAGTCAAAGTCATGGCATTACACTGATGATTTAGAACCAGAATGGTTTACTTAAAACCAACAGCCTTGAAGATACAACTTAAAACTTGTTCTATGCAACTAACTAGTCTTTTTCAAATAGACCAGGCCATTTTCAAATTAAGTAGTAGGAATTGTCTAAGTATAGAAAAAGCTTGATTCTCAGATTTATAGCAGCTAAGATTATTTTAAAACATGTTTTATTCTATGTATTATATTCAAAGTTTGGGGGATGTAAGGCAATTGATGGAATGCATAATTAATCAGGTTAATTATTATAATAATAATAAGATTCAGTGACTGGTAGGTCTGGAAGTAAATAAAGACAAGAGTCTAGCTAAGAAGCAGTACATAAGAGACGGGAGCCATTGTTGCATAAGCTTAGGGAGCAATAGATCGTAGGGTAGATGAGTCAGAAGCCCCAGTCAGAAATGAGTTCCAAGACCTCCAAGTACACCATGCAGGCTGTTCATGGCACAAGAGCATGCAGTTGAGAGATTGAGAAGAAGATAAAACCTAGGTCATATACTCTTCAAAAAGCCATGCGCCCTTGTCTTCCCAGAAGGGGCACCGTTTTCCAATTCGTGCAAAGGTACCTAGGAAGCCCTGGTCAACATCATAGTGATTCCAATTGATGACAGAGCTTCTGAGGACCACCTCCCCAGGGTTTAAGGTCTGAGGTCTTGCCTTCTAAACTAGCCACTGTTCCAGGGGCCCTCTCCGTCTCTATCTCACAGCATCACTAGCCATTCAATGACTCAAGTTGAAAACCTAGGCATTATGCCCGTTCTCCCTTTACTTCTTCATCCAACCCATGAGGAAGTCCTATTGACTCTACCTCCTGAGCAGAGCTCAAATCTGCCCATAGCCCCCGCTCTATCCTCCATCATCCTTTTTCTGGAGCACTGCAGAACTATCTAATCCTCTGTCTGTTTTTGCCCTTTTAGTTTGGACTACACAAGTAACCATCTTTTTAAATGTACCTGTTTACATCTACTTTATGTCTTGAATAAATGGAAAGACACATTTTTTATAAGAAGAGACATAGAAATGTCAATTTTCTTTAAGCCATAATGTAACTTGGCCCAATAAAAAATGGATTTTTTAAAGAAGTTGCTGTGGTATGAGTGTAGGTTGTCCTCCAAGGGTTCAGGCACTGGAAGCCTGGTCCCTAGTGGCAATGTTGAGAGGTAGTGGGACTTTTAAGAGGTGGGGCTTAGTCATGGGGGCACTACCTTTTGGAGGGACCAATGTAGTTCTTTCAGTATTGCATTAGTTCTTATGAGAGCAAGTTGTTAAAACCAAAGTCACCAAAGTTCCCTCTGCACATGGTTGTTTCCTTTTGTGCTTTGCTACCACATTGTGACACAGACTCACCAGAAGATAAATAAGCTGGGACCATCAACCTTGGACTTTCAACCTCCAAATAAACCCCTTTTCTTTATAAAGAATTTGGCCTTAGGTATTTTGTTACAACTACATAAAATAGGCAAAGAGTATGGAAAAAAAACATGTAGGAATAAATATCCTAGTAGATATTAAGAAGAAAAAGAATAACAAACCCAGTAGAAAGTAAAAGTAAGCTGGGTATACACACCTATAATTCTGGCACTCAGGATGATAAGACAAGAGGATTTTGAATTTGAGGCCAGCAGAAAGGGAGAGAGAAAGAGAGGGAGGGGGAGGGAGGGGAGAGAGAGAGACAGAGAGAGAGAGAGAGGGAGGGAGGGAGATAAAGAAGAAAGAAAAGAAAGAAAGAAAGAAGGTGAAAATCATGAGCAGTTGCTTTTCAGAACAGGAAATGTAAATAGTTCTTAAAACATGGTATGATCCTCAACTGTCTCATAGTCAGATATATGTAAAAATCCCTTTGTGATTTAAGAGTTGAGCATAGATTATAAGTGTGAGGAATACACTTTCAGTAAGGGTTTGTGGAAGCAAATAGTTTCATGTATCATGGTGATATGTAAAATATCACAGACATGATAAAAAGCAATTTGGCAATAACTATTAGAATTTTAAATACAGCAAATACTTTGACCTAGCAATTTCACTTCTAGAAATGCATCCTAAATGTATATCTGAACATTTACAAAAAGGCATATGCACAGAGGCAGCATTGATTCTAATAGCAAATGGCTGTTAAAGGCCTAGCCACAGAGACAAGTTAGATTAAGTATGATCCCTTCATATGCTAGAATCGATTGCAGGTATTTAAAAATGAGGTCAATATTACATACTGATATAGAAATATCTTCCAGATATGTGAGTGAAAAAGCAAAATGCAGAAGTGTGTATGCTGGCTTTTTTAAAGAATATATCGGGACTGGGGCTATATCTCTGCATTAGAGCATAACATATGCAAGGCCCTGAGTTCAACTCCCAGATGAAAGGAAAGAGAAGGAAAGTAAAGAAGGAGTAGTGAAGTCTCTCTCTCTCTCTCTCTCTCTCTCTCTCTCTCTCTCTCTCTTTCTCTCTCTTCCTCTCTCTCTCTCCCTCTCTCTCTCCCTCCCGCCTCCCCCGTGTGTGTGTGTGTGTGTGTGTGTGTGTGTGTGTGTGTACAC